CGTCGCTCCGACGCGGGGGCCACTTTGCCGCCCCACGGGCCTTGGAGTGCCTGGCCAAAAACGAAACAGGTCCTCGCCCTCCTCCTCCAGTTCCTCCTCCTCCTCCTCCCCCTCCCTACCTTCTGAAAGTGCTCCTTACTCTGTTCCTCCCCCTCCTCCTCCTCCTCTCCTCCTCCTCCTCCTCCTGCTCCTCCTCCTCTCCATCCCACAGGCAGGTCTGCACCGCGGAATGCAACCCCAAACACACGTCTCGCGTTGCTTCCCCCCTCCTGCTCATCATCCCCTGCCAACCCCCGTGCAGCCCCCAAGACCCCCTGAACCATCGAAAACCAACAGGTGGCAAGCATGCCCTACCTGTTGCACGAGGGAGCGACGGGAGACGTGGAAAAGGGTGAGCAGGGACAATGAGGCATCCTTTTGGGGCCATCCTGCGACGTTCTTGGAGCCATGTACGGCTCTCTTGTGGCTCGTTGGGGGGTCTCTTGGGACTATCTCGGCACCCTTCGGGCCTCTTTGGGCCGATTTAGAAGACCTTGGAGCTGTCTGAGGTTATCAGACCGTCTTGGGGCTGGCTCGGGGCCATCGTGGGGGGGGCTTGACCCGCCTGGGACTCGCAGGTTCTTCTCGGGCACTTTTGAAACCTTGGCTAACAACAAAACGAACTACCGCCCCCCCCCCCCAAAAAAAAAACCCTAACAAAGGTTCCCTAAACAGCGAATGATATGAGGGGTCCGGACTGTTTTAACAAAACGGTTCTCCCTTCTAGATTGCCCAATAATGTGCCGCCCGCGTGTCGTGCCGTGCCATGCCGTGCGTGGCTTCGACAATGTGGACCATGTGCCTCACCGTGCCCGCGTGCCGCGTCGAGCCATGCAGCACTCGCCGTGCCACGCCTTGTTTTGCTTCTGGAACGCGCGGTCGAGTGCCGTGCCGTGCCGCGCGCCCGCGCGCCCTGCCGTGACGCGCCGCGATTGGTTGCCAGAGAGCGGGGATGCGCCGAGCCGCGCGGTGCCGTGCTCGCGTTGCCGTGCCGTGCGGTGCTCAGGCTCTGACATGCGAACCACGTGCATGTGCCGTGCCCGCGTGCCCTGCCGAGCCGTGCCGTGCCGGTGCTCGGCTTCTCGAAGGCGAGCACGTGCCGTGCCGGGCCCGGGTGCCTTGCCGTGCTCCGGGTCCCGGATGCGGAAGTGCGCCGTGCCGAGCCGTGCAGGCAGGCCCAGCTGTCCTGGACGTAGCGCGCGGAACAAGCTCAGAGTGCGAAAAGCACCAAATACTGCCATGCTGTGCCTGGCTTTCCGAATGCGAAACAGCTGCCGTGCCGCGGCGTGCCTGACGACTAAATACGAAAATTCGCCGTACCGTGCAGTGCCGTACCTGTTTTTCAGAAGGCGACAAATGAACGAGCCGTGCCCTGTCGTGCCGTACATGACACTCAAAATGCAAAGAAGTTGCGCGGCCATGCCGTGCCAACCATGCGCCGCGTCATGCAGCGTAGGTGCTTAGGTTCTCCATGCCGGTGTAGTTAAATAGTTTCGCCTCTCAGGAGCTTCCGTGCAGTGGTGGGGCCGTTCAGGGCCTCATGGGCAATTTTCGAGACCTCTTTGGCATGTTGGAGTCCATTTTGGGTCGTCTTGGACAAGCACGCCGAAGTAGATGCTCCACCCCAGTCCAGGTTGTCTTCGAAGCTTCGTGGACTGCCGATCCGATCCGATCCCCGCGTGCTCCTTCTCCGCCTCGGTATCCTCCTTCTTCTCCTCCTCTCTCTTTCCCTTCCTCTCCCGAGCATCCCCCAACACAAATCCACGATGGCCGGGGAAACACTTGAGCGACGAAAAGAAACGGGTCTTACGCAAGATCGCATAGCAACCTTCCGCAGTGGCTTACGCGGGCCGCCGCCGTGACACGCCACATTGGAGACGAGGGCGCCCCCGCGCCAATGTCGGCGCAGTCGACCCCTTTTTCTTTTGTCGCTCGCATGGTCCAACAGCCTGGGCAGACTTCACGCACCGTCTAGCCACATAGGCTCTTGCAGAAGGCAGGGGGCAGCGGTGGTTCGCCGCAGACATCTTAAGACGAAGCAAGAACGAGGATAAGATCGGGTGAAAATAAGTCGAGATTCTCTGAGGTCCGGCAGCTCTGGAGGATGTCTCGGGCGCCGCGACCTTCTCAAAGCGTTCCGGAACGCTCTGAGAGCGTTCCGGAACGCTCTGGAACGGAGTTATCCTCGTCCTAGCCCCGGATGACAGGACCAGCCCGCCCTGGCCCAGGACCTGCACGACCTCAGCGAAGACCCCGAGGCGTTCTCTGATGGCACCGGGGCCCGTGGAGGGCCCCAGAAGGCCAAGAGCGGGGAAGCGCATCCGGGCCCGTCTCCCCCATGGACCCGCCTGCAGTCACGCATTTACCCTCGTCCTAGCCGCGTCCACCGTCTGCCATGCTCTTCCCCGACCACCCGTCCGATCCCTTCCGAGGCCGACCCTCCCCAGCAGCGCGGGCCCGCCTGCGGCAGGCCGAGGCGCCGACGCGGGCACCTCCCCGGCGCCCCGGAGCGCCCGTCAGAGGATATTCATGTTTCTCCTCCTCCTCCTCCTCCTACCTATGACGATCTCCTTGTTGATCGAATTGTCATTATTCTCATTATTGTTATGGCTGTCCTCATGTTCGGAGGCCTGGAGGTTGACACCAGCACCAATATAGACGGTATGCTTCCACCGAGGGATGGCGATCCCGATCTCGGTGATGGTGGTAATACTCGGGCTTCCCAGGTGGCAGAAAGATTACCACCAACATCAAAATCTGGGATCATCTTCCCCCGATGGAGGCAACCCCCTGTGTTGGTGTTGGTGTTCATTTCCAAGCCTCCGACTGGACCTCGAGCGCGCGGTTCGGGTCATCAGGGCACGAGCTGGTGCGAAACCGAAGGATTCCACCGAACTGAACGCAGTACCACGTACCGTCAGGATCCGCAAATGCTGTCGTCTTCGGACTCGGCCGCCCGCAAACTGAGGCGATGGCGTAGCGCTCCGCGCTGGCACGAGCTTGACGAGCTCAGCCAAAGATCTCTACCATCGCTACCCGCTTCCCTAGTATTGACTCCTCAGGCCATTGATGTTGTGGGTCGGGGAGGACGCCATCATGCACATCGATCACATGGCCTCCCGACCCGAAGACTCACAAATACAAGCGCTAGTACCCCATGCAATCCTGAAGAGCGCGCCGCAGCACGGGCAGTCCCACAGCTGGTCAGTGCAGCAACAACAACAACCTTATGAAGCCAGGGGAAGCGCGTCATCAGCACAAGGTATAGTCACGTGGCAATGAGCCTTCCAGTACAGTCAGACGACCTCCCGACCGCAGTTGGAGGAATGAGGAGAAGAAGAAAAGGAAGAAGAAAACGAAGGAGAAAGAAGATGAAGAAGAAGTAGGAGAAGGAGAAGGACGACGAGGGGGGATGATATTCTTCTGCGACGGCATTGAAGTGGTCATGCACGCAGCCCAGTTTCGCGCCACACCGATGAAGACGATCGAAGAACACCCTCTGCTGCTGCACGGGATCGCGCGCTGCGTGCATGCCTTCTCCGCTGTATCTAGCTGTCGCAGCGCGGCAGAGGCAATCCGCACGCGCGTCTGTGCGAGACTGGGGCAAGAACATAAGGCGCACGCTACATCAAAAAGGTGGAAAACTTGCTAATCACATCCAGTTGACCATAATCAACATCAGATTCGGTGTCTTGATTCTCCGCCTCCTCCTCCTCCGCATTCTCCCTTTCTTCCTCCTCCTCCTCCTCCTCCTCCTCCTCCTCCTCCTCCTACTACTACTACGACTACGACTACGACTACTACTACTACTACTACTACTACTACTACTACTACTACTACTACTACTACTACTACTACTACTACTACTACTACTACTACTACTACTACTACTACTACTACTACTACTACTACTACTACTACTACTACTACTACTACTACTACTACTACTACTACTACTACTACTACTACTACTACTACTACTACTACTACTACTACTACTACTACTACTACTACTACTACTACTACTACTACCACTACCACTACTACGACTACTATTACTACTACTACTACTACGACGACTACTACTACTACTACTACTACTACTACTACTACTAATCATCTTTGTTCTCCTCCTCTCCTCATCCTCCTCATCCTCCTCTTCCTCCTCGTTTTCCTCCTCCGCCTTCCCATGCTCCACGCAACTCCCACTTCTGCCCGAAAACCCGCCCGCTCTTCAAACGAACACAGGAGCCGCAGACCCTTGTCAAACACCTCAGCCTCAAGGACCAACAGATGCATCGCGGACCACAAACGTTGAGGTTCCCATTGGTTGCCTGTGATGCCTCCTCCTCCTCCCCCTCCTCCTCATCATCATCATCCTCTTCCTTGTCCTCGTCCTCATCCTCTTCCTCATCCTCCTATCCTCCTCCTCCTCCTCCTCCTCCTCCTCCTCCTCCTCCTCCTCCTCCTCCTCGTCCTCCTCCTCCGCCCCCTCCTCCGCCCACTCCTCCTCCTCCTCCTCCTCCTCCTCCCGTTGCTCCTCCTCCTCCTCCTCCTCCTCCTCCTCCTCCTCCTCCTTGTCCTCCTCCTCCTCATCATCATCATCATCATCCATTCCTGTTCCTTTTCCTTGTATTCAACTTCGCCCTGTCGCACCCCGAAGCCACTTCTTAGGGCGGGCCGGGTGTTTCGCATGAGACTTCCAAACTTTTAAGGACCCTGAAGCTTAAAAGGGCAACAGGTTCACAGGTGGCGGGCGGGTCGTTGTCAAAATGTGGCTCTCGCCTTAGCGCCGCGCGCATTCGTTTTAAAAACTTCCAAGAGTTGCACGAATTGAAGGCGAGTCGTTTTCAAAATGTTGCTCTCGCCTTGGAGCCGCGCACATACGTTGTGCAAATGTGCAAGGACTTCAAGGATTGAGGACGGCTCCTTTTCAAACTGTGGCTCTCGCCTTAGAGCCGCGCACATATCCGCGGAATCGCGCTAGTATCACATGATCGATGCTGGGCCCCGCAGGGCCTCGAGAGGACCTCTTTTTCACCTCAGGGCGCTAGAGCCAGAACGGTTGCGGTAACGTCAAACGCTGAAACATCAGTCGAGCCTCAAACCCGACCCGAAACAACTATCGTTCCAAACGTGTGCTAAGCATATCCGAGACCTCTCGGGGGGGGGGATTCTGCATAGCACTCCTCCCTGGGCCCTGGGCTTAGCCTGGGGCACCTCAACTAAACAGAAACCGTCCTGGGTCATCCTAGCTCAAACAAGATATGGCACCTTCGCCCGCGGGCCTATCTCGTTTCTCCTCCGAGGGCCAGCGCCACGACGCCGGGCTTCATCCTCTCGCGCCCTCGAGCTCGTGCGAGAGGGAGGAGCAAACAGGCGACACCAGCTCTTGCAGCTGCGTCGTAAACGTGAAAAGGCGGTGCCACCGCACCAGAAGAATCATTCACTTGCGGCCTGCTCCGATGAGCAAGTCCACGATCATCTGCGCCTTGAGCTGACCGTGGTAGATCTTCAGGCGCTCACACTCCGCTCTGAGGTCCACTGCGCTCCACGTCCAGTAGTGCGGCACGGGCACCGTCTGCGCGTGTCGCTTTGGCCGCCAACAGTCCTCGATCTCCAGCCTGTCGGTCGGCTGCTCATACTCCTCCTCAGCTGGTGGACGCGCCACCAGTCCGTTCTCGTTATCGTCGGCCTCCACGAGTTCCCACAAGCCCATCAGGAACCGCAACGGGACTTTTGTGCATGCGGCAGACGACCCACGTCGCCAGGAATGCGATCGCCAACGTCGAGCCGAACATAACTCCGAGCATCGTCGTCCAGATCCGCTCCGCCACGGTCGAACTGCCCATCACCTCACCGCCTGGTCGCATGGAATGACTGCCGGGCCCTGAACTCCACCGAGCATGGTGGCCGCCAGCATGACTCCGAACACCTGCGTGCGCCCTGACGGTGTCCGAAATGAAAGGAACGCCAGCAGCTTCAGGAATCTCGGCCCCTCCAGCGGCTTCGTCTGCATGTCGGCCCTGTTGACATCCGCGTGGAACTTCGCAGTCGTGATGGTCCGGTCCCTGACCTTCTCCTGCGCCTGACCTTCTCCTGCGCCCAGAGGTACTTCGTCTCCAGGTGGCGCACCTTGCCGCATGCGAGGCGCGAGGCGATGCCCTCGGCCCCAGAGCTGCCCGCGTTGACCTGCAGCGTCACCTCGAAACCCATCTCCAACGTCACGCTGCGGAGCCCGATGCCCCTCGCCGATCCGTTCACGATGCCCGTGAACTCCGCCTCGGCGCCGCTCAGGGCGCGGTTGCCCTGCTGACCGCTCCAGCCGTCGACCAGGTGCGAACCGATGACCAAGAAGCCACCGTCCACGGACCTCCGACCAGGCTCTGATGCCCAGTCACTGTCGACTTCCGCCACGATAACCTTCGGCATCCTCTGGAACCCGAAGAAGAGCTCGAACTGCGGGTGCTCCTCAAGGTAGCTGGCCAAGCGTTGAAGCAGTAGCCAATGGTGCCAGGTCGGCGCCACCATGCCCTCACGAGGTAGCCGACGGCCTGCTGGATGTCGAAGCGGTCGCGTGCGACGTAGAGTGCGGCAGGCGCCATGCTGCGGTAGGTGGTCGCGTACTCCGCGCTGAGCTCGTCGGATGACTCTCTGTAGTCCTTCCTGATTGTCTTGGAAGACGGAGTGATCGTGCGCTTGGTGGCGTTGCTCTCGCCGATCTTCCTGCTGAGCATGGTGCAAACCAGGATCTCCACATGCTTGCGATCGTGCACGGTGCCGAAACCTTCGGGACACCACGTCACTGTACGCTTGACGAAGCTGCCTGACTCAACTCCTCCTTGCCTCGGGCTCCCGACCCCGGGCATCACCTTGACCTTGAAGTGACCTCACCAGCTCGCCCAGCCAATCGAGCGCGTCTCTCCTTCCTCCAGCCAAGAAGTCGTTACCATGAACAATCATCATCAGCAGGCGCTCCGTGTGGTAGAAAACTTGAACCGTCACATTGATGCGGACAAAGCCTCCTTTCTCCGTGCCCTCCATGATCAGGTTCAGAAACAAAAACGAGGCCCTCCTGGTGCCGTAGAGTGCCCTCTTCAGCTGGTACACGATGCCCTCGGGCTCCTCTCCCTTGGGCGGCACCACGTAGATGCCCTCGTCGATATACGCGTGGACGAACGCCACCGACACGTCGTAGAGAGCGAGCATGCCGTCGCAGCCGATCCCCGCGAAGTGGAGGGTTGATGCGAAGAAGACCACCAGCCTGAACGCGGCCAGCGGCGGCGCGCCTGCGAAAGTGTCGCCCCGCACGTCCCAGGCGAACTGCATGGCCACGCAGCGCGACCTGACCGACTCCCTGCCGTCGTCGTCGTAGCGCTCATCGTCGACCCACTTCCCACGGACGCGCTTGCCCTTCGCGAAGTTCTCAAGCACGCGGTCGAAGACCTGGAACTCCCCCATCTGCCTGTGCTCCTTCTCCCTGCCCTGCCTCACCAGGGAAAGGTCCAGCTTCCTGCCTGACCTAGCCCCGAACAAGTTCTGGTAGGTCGACTCCCTGTCGTAGAGGCTGTGCTTGTTGGTGTCCATTTCGCTGCCGTAGGAAATGACGTCGCACGTCAGCGCCACCACTGCGATCGCCATGTTGACAAACAGGCCCGCGATCACCTTCTGCTTCCTCCTCGGCTTCTCCGTCACCGCGGCCCCGTTCCAGTCCACCTCGATCACCCCGAGCTCCATTCCGCCCTGCGGCTACTGCGCTGGAGGTACCTCCTGCATCGGATCCGGGGGAGCATCTGCCTCAGGTCGACGCCTGCGAGGTCGCCCGCCTTGATCTGCCCCTGGACCATGTAGGACAGCAGGTGGTGCTGGAGCCGATGCTGTCGGTGCAGATTGCTCGTCGGCGGGTCCAGGCTGAGCAGGCTGGTCTCCTCCTCCTGGGGGTGCTGCAGCTGCTGCGGAGGCGGCTGCTCGAACTGCTGCCTCCTGCTTGTCTTTCTCCTCCTCGGCCTTCAGCAGGCTCTCGATACGACCTCTGCAGAACTCAGTGCGTGGGTGACCAAGCCCGTAGCAGCCGTCGCAACCAGGTGCAGGTCCAACTCGATCGATGATGGCCTTCGTCATGTAGCGGCGGCGCGGGGGAGGCGGTGCTGCCTCAGGTCCTGCGCGAGTGTCCCACGGCGTGCACTCGACCTTGTTGAACAAGCTCGCTGGTCCTCAACTCGCCCGTTGATCGCCCTCGCCGTCTTCCGACCAGCAGCGGTCGCCAGGAAGTGCTCGTCCGTGCGGTTGTCCTTCCCGACCCAGACGGCTTTGCCCCAGCGGATCTCCGCCTTGTGGTGGGCCACTTTCTGGATCTTATACATCACCGTCTCGCCGAACTCGCAGATCGCCCCTCCGCGCGCGCGGCCCTTCGGGCGCTGGTAGGGCGCGAGGCCATCCTCCTTCACTGGGCACACTGACAGGGGCCATCCTGCATGCCGAATCATCCAGCTCATGACCCAGAGGTTCAAGGTGGGCTTGGTGCTGTACCTCGACTCGATCGATGCCCTCAGTGAGCTGAACATGCCTTCGACCATCTTGTTGGCGTTCTCGATCGCACCATTGCTCCTGGGATCTCGCCTAGGTCCGCTGTGAGGCACTGTCTCTCCCCTCGAGCCAGCTGCACGGCTCGGGCCAAGGCTTGGATAGCGGGTTCTCCATCAGCTCCAAGAAGAGAGCGGTTGAGGCCCCACATGCGCGCCACCGCCGTCGTCACTGCCACGGCATAGTCCGCAGGCCCCTTTCACGGTCATCTGCGCGCACTCGATCGCGCCCGACTGGTACTCCAGGATATTCAGTACCGCGAGGGGGTCAACTTTGATGTCTCCGAAGAACGAGTAGTCGATGCAGACCAGCGGGATCAGACGGCCGGGGTCCGCTAAGCGCGTGCAAGGGCCCTCCTGACCACGGCCCATGACGCAGAACAAACACCACATGCGGAAGGGCCAGTGCGTGAAAAGATGCTGGTCTCGAACCGCTCGATCTGGCATCCCTGGGATCCCTCTCGCATTAGCCGGCGCGGCTTCTCCAGAAACCCGCAGTAGAGCTCCGCCTTCTCGCTGTCGTCGAACGCCCTCACGCTGATATCCTTTATGGTCTGGTTGATCCTGATCATCGCCGGCAGCTGGTGGCGCCAGTGGGGGCGGCGGTGCTGGTGGATCGGCGTCGGCATCAGGCTCTGCATCTCCCTCATCAGCAGGTGCTTCGTGCGGAACAGCTCGGGCCTCAGTGTTCGGCTGCACGGGGTTGACGGGGATCGGCTCGGCGACGTTCTCGACGGGCCTCCTGATCCTGAGCCAGAACGTCCCCCCGCTCCTGCACAGCTTGATCCTGCGGCCGTCCGCGAGCAGGATGTAGGGGCCCTTACCGAAGATCGGGACATGACCTCCCTCCGTGAAGGTGTCGGCGCTCACGACGGCGCGCTTCACGTTCGCGAACTGGAACTCGATCTGGAGAGGTATTCCGTCGCTCTCGGCTGCCATCATCCTCGCGCCCATGGACTTGACCTCGTCGCCAGTCGCCGACTCGCAAAGCGGCAGCTTCTGCGGGCAGGTGGTGGGCCCTGAGCCTGTAACACAGAGCGCCCAGTCGAACCCCACCGAATCGCCGACCGTCACCGGCAGCGCATCGCACTGCGTCGCGGCGTACATCATGCCGACCTGCCAGTTGTACTCCTCGGGCGTCGGGATATCAGCGTCGCCTGCCACCTGGATGTTCGCGACGCGAACGGTAGCACTCGTCGAAGGTCGACCCCGCTGCTGTCGCAACTGCATCTGGGCCAGGACTGCTGCCACGTGGGACGCTTCGATCGCGGGGGCCAAGCTGCCCTGCGAGCCAGCGCTGCCCCCCTTCAGCGCCGTCGTTGCCGTCGAGGCGGAAGACCGCACCTGGGTTGCGTCCGTCAGCGATGCGACCTCCCTGCCCATCTTCTCGCCCGCCTTCTTCTTGCGGCAGTCGGCTGCGAGGTGGCCAGCCTTGCCGCAGCAATGGCAACTGCGGGTCTCTCGGTCGTTCCCCTTGGAGTCGCCCTTCTTCCCCTTAGAGTCGCCTTTCTTTCCTTCGCAGTCCGCGCCTTTGCCCTTGCCGTCTTTGCCCCTGCACGTTTAACGATTGCATCGACCTGCATCGGGACTGCGCCGTCGCCACCAGAGCCCGCTGCTGCCCAACGTCGCTGCGACAAGCAAAACGTCGTCAGCTCCGTCTCCAGGTCGTCGCACGTGACCAAGCGCGAAGCATTCAAGCTGAGGTGGTCCGCCAGCTTCTCGTTCTTGACGCCCGACATGATCACACCCCGCTTCATGTTGTCCGAAATCACTTCGCCGCTCTGGTCCGCGCACTCCCTGACGAGCTGCTCGAACTCCGCCAAGTTCGTCCTCGCGGGGCCCGCAAACTCGCATCGGATGGTCCGACCGAGCATGGCCGCAAACCTGTTTGTCTCCTTCAGCGCGAGCTCCCGAAGCAGGTACCACCACGCAGCGAGCCCGTCTCCTCGCGGGGCTTTCCTGACCTCGACCTCGGCCACATCCGACGTCACCGAGACCAGGACGTTGTACAACTGTGCGTTGAGTGCGGCATCCAGATCGGTCTGCACCGTCAGCGCATCCGCCATTCGCGACACCCGGTTGAGCAAGTCCCCCAGTCGGGGGTGGACCGCGAACAAGTAGGCCTCGAAGCCAAACGACCAGATCTTCCACTCCGAGTGCAAGCCCGTGAACGTCCGCGGCTTGTTCAGCAGTCTCGTGCCCACGACCTGTCCGCTGCTCGGACCTGGTGCTGCTACTGCGGCTGCGCCGCCGTCGCGCTCTCCAGCGCGCTGCTCGCCCATCGCCAGACGCTGCTCCGCGGCGCCCAGCCCCCGCCGCAGATTCTCGTTCTCCGCGAGCACCTCGCGGTGCCGTGTCACCTCGCCCTCCATGAGACGCACGCGCTCCGCGGGGGTCTCCGTTGTCGCGGCTCCCGCCACGGCAGCGTGACCGAGGATCACCAGGACACGGGGGGTGATCATGCCTCGGCCAGGTTCCGCTACCATCCACGGAATCGCGCTATCATCACATGATCGATACTGGGCCCCGCAGGGCCTCGAGACGATCTCCTATTTTTACCTCAGGCCGCTAGTGCCAGAACGGTTGCAGTAACGTCAAACGCTGAAACATCAGTCGAGCCAAGCCCGATCCGAAGCAACTATCGTTCCAAACGTGTGCTAAGCATATCCGAAACCTTTGGGGGGGAGTGTTTCTGAACTGCAAAATACGTGTTTAACAGATGCCAGAACCTCACGGATCGAGGGCGATTCCGTTTCGAAGCGATTATTGCCTTAGCGCTGCGCCCATTCGCTTGAAATATGTGCAAGAGTTGTACGAATCGAAGGCGGCTCCTGTTCAAAATGTGGCTCCCGCCTTAGCGCCGAGCACATCCGCTTCAAATTTGGAAGAGATTCACGGGTCGAGGGCGGGCGGTTTTTCAAAATGTGGTTCTCGCCTTAGCACCGCTCACATTCGCATATGAAATGTGCAAGTTTTTTTGCGGTTGCCCCTTGCTCAACGTACCAGACACGGCGCTTCGGAAGGATTCAGGGTTATACGGGCGCAACGGTTACGTTGATCAGAGTGAAAGGCGTCGAACGGTCATTCATTGTTCCTGGGTGCGTGTCTGAAGTGGGGACCCGTGGTACGGATTATGGTTGTTGCGTTGTTGTGTTGTTGTTGTTGTTGTTGTTGTTGTTGTTGTTGTTGGTGGTGGTGGTGGTGGTGGTGGTGGTGGTGGTGGTGGTGGTGGTGGTGGTGGTGGTGGTGGTGGTGGTGGTGATGTTGGTGTTGCCAGTGTTGGCATTGTTGCTGTTATTGTTGTTGTTGTTGTTGATGTTGTTGCTGGTATTGATTGTTGTCGTCGTCCCACCCGCGACCCACTCGCGACCTACCCCGCGACCCACCCCGCCACCCACCCCGCGACCCCCTCGCGACCCACCCCGCGACCCACCCGCGACTCAACCCGCGACCCACCCGCGACCCACCCGCGACCCACCCGCGACCCACCCCGCAACCCGCCCGCGACCCCACCCGCGACCCATCCGCGACCCACCCGACGACCCACCTGCGACCCACCCGCGACCCACCCGCGACCCACCCGCGAACCACCCGCGACCCACCCGCGATCCAACAGCGACCCACCCGCGATCCAACAGCGACCCACCCGCGACCCATTTGCGACCCACCCGCGACCGACCCACATTGCTTAGTCAAAAAATCGGCGCCTGCGGCGGGCTTCTCCAGAGTCTCGCAGACTGCCGATGTCCCCACCGCCCCCTCACTCTTATCCGCATCTGCGGGGTGCTACATTCGCGGTGTTGGAGTGCCAGGCGTTCTGGCATGATGTAGGATCGTCAAGACGCAACAGTCAGGTTGATCCGTGGCGTTGGGATCCCGAGAACAATTTTTACGCATGCTTCAGGGTCTTCACAAGGATGTCTTCCAACGAGGCAGTTCCCTCCATGGAAATGAACCGCAATAGGGGCCTATGAACAGGGAGCTTGGAGGGAGGGTGTATTCCAACATCGTTGATGACTCTTGGTTTTACGCTGGTCCTCCTCCTCCTCCTCCTCCTCATCCTCCTCCTCCTCCTCCCTTATCCTCGTCATCATCGCCATATCGTCGTCTTAGTGGGGCAAGCGCAGGTAGGGCCGCGGGGAGAGGCACAGTCGTACCTTGAGATTGTACTTGTGCGTGCAACTGAAATCAACGACTGAGGCGGGCACAAACTATTGCACGGGCAGCAAGTGTTGCATCTGAAAAAGCTAAACATCAAATGCGTCCACACGCAACCGATGCATCCAGCCCGCAAACTATTGCACCACCGCACGTCTAATTGCAAGTACTATTGCATCTCTCCCCTCGGCGCCATCTGCGCAAGCCCCAACACTACGGATCATACATCGTCATCATCGTCACTCCGAGCATGTATGTGCGGCCCAGGTTGTATTGACTGCTATCTCCTTGAATCGATACGATAATCATAATCTTCATGGTTATCGTCATCATCATCATCAACATCATCATCATCATAATCATCATCATCATCATCATCATCATAATCATAATCATCATCATCAACATCATCATCATCATCAGCATCATCATCATTATCATCATCATCAGCATCATCATCAGCAGCAGCAGCGTCATCGCCATCACATTCGCCGTCGTCACCGTCATCGTCATCTTCGACATGATTCTCGCCATGCACTCCGTTCATTCTCTTCCAAGGAGGCCCAGGCCCCGGTCCCGAACTCGGAGGCCCCCGTGGCCGACCCAGGCACCAAGGCGCTGCTGCTGCTGAAGCGCTGGCTGGCCCTCTTTCTCGGCTGCACTGCTGCTACCGTGGCCGGTGGCCGGGCGTGGCCGCTGCGCGTGTCGGCCGATCTCGATGGGGTGCCGTGGTCCATCACACCCGACCCGCCGGGGAGGAGGGGGGAGGGGGGAGAAGGAGGAAGAGGAGGAGGAGGAGGAGGAGGAGGACAAGGAGGACATGGAGGAGGAGGAGGAGGAGGAGGAGGCGGAGGAGAACACGAGTCTGGAGGAAGAGAAAGCTTCATGAACATTGACCTTCCGAAGGTCCGCGCAGAGTTCCCTGATCGGCTCTGGCCCACCCCTCCCTGGCGCGCGGAGCGCGCCAAAGGCGGCGCTGGAGGCGCCGCCAGGGGGAAGGCCCAGCGCAGATCCGAGAAATCCGAGCGGAGCTCCGGTAGTTTGCGTTTATGGCGTTTTTTTAAGATGGGGCGGGGGCAAAGGTGGGGTTGGAAGGAAAATCGCTGCGAACGTCACCTGTTGAACGGGAGCATCCAGCTGGGCCCGTTCCCAGCCCCACCTTGGGATAACCCTCTCCCTACGAAACCCCGCTTTTGTCTTCTCCGAGTGACGCCCGACCTGCCACGCAGGAGACGAGTCCCGCAGCGCTGGCACGGGGCCACGGAGGTCTGCAGCGCAGAGTACCACGACGGCCGAGCGACCTTCCGGGGAGCAGGCGGCGATGCGGGCGCAGGCGAGGTTCAGGCCGTGAGCACGTCGGGGTGACCCGCCTCAGGCCCCCGCGGGAAGAGGGGGAGGGAGGAGGGAAAACGGGAAATGGAGGCTGGAGGAAACGGGGGGAGGGGGAGAAATCGTGTCAAAACATCGGTCGCGCCCAACCCGGGGCCCGAGAAAGCACACGTGGACGGCTTCGGTAGCCTTAGGCGGGGGCCCGCACCAAGTCCCACACGGCGCGTGCCACAATGCGGCAGGGCAGCCTCGCAATCCCAGCAGAGAGCGGAAGACAGGATGAGGTCCTCGTCCCCAGATGATTGAAGTTGTTTGAGCGTCGTCTTTTGGAGCTCCTACAACTTCTGGAGGCCTCCAGAGACTTACAAGAGCCTTCAAGACCCCCAGAAACCGCGTAAACTGCCACAAAAAAGGATTCCCCTGGAACGTTTTACTGGGTGCGAAGGGCTCTCTTGGAAGCTCTTGGGAACCCTGGTGGTCAAAGATAGCTAAATGACCGAAATCTAAACGCCCCCTGCGATTGCGCTGGAGATGTATGGATTACGGTACGGAAAACAAGACATCATAGGAACTCCATTGCTGATAACACAAGGGAATCATTGCTTCGACCAACGCGCCACACGCACAGAGAGTAGCAGAAGCAGAGATAAGCGGGACCGCGCCGGAGATCCCAAGCCAAGCCTGTGTCATCATCTCTTTTGCTGGGTTGCGAATGGACGCCCGAGACTGGGCGGGAGGCCTGCGCGTTGAGCAGCTGAAGCGCGATACGCGGGCAACGAGGAAGAGGCGACGGTGGTACTACTCATACGTCTTCAGTACGTTGGCCCGCGCGCTAGTCCAATACAGGGTACAAACAAAACCCTACGAACCTTGCCGAAGCCCCACCGCGCGTTGATCCTGTAGAACAAGTGTCTTGCTGGAGACAAGAAAACGAATGAAGGATGCGGGAAGCGGATGAGGGCAAAGAAAAAATAGAACTGGGGGCAAGCAAGGCATGAGATCCTCGGTAAAGCCCTTCAGCAAGTGAATGTGCGACGATCCATTACACCCGAGACACCTCCAGTTGCACCGCATCCTCATGATTCTGAAATGGGTCGAGAACCACTTGGCGTGCGTGCGATGCCGCGCATCGCCGCCCGTTGCCATGCCGCGCGTGCCGTCTCAAGCATGCTGTGCCGCAGACTCCATGCCGAGCATGTTACTCCCTTACCAGCTGACCTCACATCCAGGTTAAGCTGTCCAGGCAAACATCATACATGTTCGTCTTGGCTCACGGGGATTTGCTCGATCCGCTCCTCTGGCGCACCCGCACTCCAGCGCAATGAGAAGGCCACTCGGGCGCGGCCACGCTGCCCGCGCGTGTCAGGCCATTCGGATCGCCCCTTTTCGGGGGCACCCGCACCCTCGTGCAGGCGCGCGACCAATCTGGCAAAGCCGCACCCTCGCGCAGACGAAGGGGCATTTTGGCAGGGTGCGGGTGTGGGCGGGTGCCCCAAGGTGCGGGTGCGCCAGACTTGCGAAACTATCGCAGCTGGTCATATCCTGTCGATTAGTGTACCTTTTTTCAGCTCTCTCGCCTACAGCTCGAATAAAGTCAAACAAGCATCGCCTCTCAAAGATTTGCAGAGTGAGAATAGTTTTTGGGTTGCAGCTCTGGTAGCAGACCGATCTGAGACGTCTCGACTGTATACTGATGCTCTTGATCATTCCCTGTCGGGGAAGTATGTATCTCAGCACAGTAGCTCAGCTATACCTCAAGTCAAGTAGAGAAAATCAACATTGTCTCTTGAAAAGAAACAGGGTGCGACTCGTGTGTTCAGTCGCAGTTCTGGTGACAGACTCATTCCAGGCGTTACCACACCAGACTAAAGTTTGATCACAAGTACAGAAAACCAACATCGTCTCTTAAAAAATACAGAATTCGAATGCGTTTTGAATCGCAGCTCGTAGCAAATTCTCCACATTTGAGACTAGATCTCCTGATCAGTTTCTGTCGAATGGTGTGCGTTTCGCCTCTGAGAGCGGCCTGTAGCTCGAGTTGTTCCCATAATCATCAAAAGGACCCCACGTGCAAATAGTTTGTCGGTCGCATCTCGCGTAGCAGATTTCAGGTACCTCCACACTTCAGAATAGAACTCCTGAGCATTGGCAATCGAATAGTGTTTCGCCTCTGACAGTGGCCTGTAGCTTGAATTATATCCCAAAAACCATCAGGATACCCCCCCCCCCCCCAAAAAAAACGGCAAATCCTGGCTTAATGCTTTCGTGTAGTAATACACATCCGATTGACCTGAGACCAAGATGGCGAGCGGCAACAAGATCATAGAGCTGGGCGAAAAATAGTAGATATCAAACGACTTGTTGAATTTCGAAAATATAATTTTCAACAGAAGCCTCTTCGTCAAAACTGGGAGCCGGCGGTAAACCGTCAACCAAATTACCACCGGAGGGACACGTAGAGCTTCTATCCGAGCACAGAAACCTCTACTGAATAGCGCTGATTCGAAACATCGAAACTTTAGGCTGCTGCGTCCGAGGCTGCCGAATCAGTGCTGCAATCGAGAGCTTCGCAGCTACTCTAAATCTCGAAAATCAGCAGGAATACCGCGCGACGCAGCAGAACGGTAGCACAGCCACATACGTTGCTCGAGCATAGCTCAAGTAGAAAACTGGGCTTAAGCATCTAGAAGTAACAGAGATAAGCTATTGAAATTGCCTGCGTGCTGAAACAAGCAGGGCCCTCAAGTCAGTCAACATTCCAAGATTTAGGCTAAAAGCGTTTCGACACAGCGAAAGTCGCTACAGAGTGGAATTAGTTTTCCTTCATAGCCTCAGTATGCAAACAAGCTCAACTCTCCGGAAGTCAGACCGAGCAGCCATTAGTCGTCACAACATAATCGTACCAGCAAAGCACTGAAATCGCCTTGAATATCGAGTTCATCGAAATCCAAAAAAAAATATTGCAGTATGAAACTACTGATTCGAATAGCTCGAATAGCAACCGAGTTCAACTCTCTGGAGACTGTTTATACTGCATTCGAGGCTGCTGAACCGTTTCGTGTAATCGAAAGGCATGTAGCTGCCCTAAATATCGAGATCACCTGAACCCACCGAACGCGCGCACAAAAATAAGGTCTCAAAGCGAGTTGCCCACGCTTTAAGACCTCGCTCTTCAAAATGCTCCGATCGACCTGGGGTCAAAAAGGCGAACAGCAGTAAGATCGAATTGTACCGGAAAAATACCCTGTCCTAAAGGAATGGTTACAAATATTCCAACATATGCTTCGACTAGGGAACTGTTATCAGCTCCTTGCACGCGTAGCAATGCTCGGAATCCAAAGAGGAAGCCGTCTGGAGCATCAGCATGGAAACGCCCCAAAAAAAATGTTTGCTGGTTTGGGACCGAGGTCGGTTCCTCCAAGTGTTTTAATAATATTACTGCAGCTACGGACCAAAGAAGTTCACAAGCAGACGCGGCGTAACCTTCTACAGGTGAGATAAATACGGGCTGTCCAAACAAATTTTCAAATCTCTCAGAATCGCGCTCCACCGACCCAAAGTTACCACATGGTTTCTTCTGGCCGGGTCGGCCAATTAGTTCCACCATGCGTCCGAACTCCTCTTAGCTCATCGCACCGAAAAGCTCTGCGAGGTATCAGAGTAAATGAACAGAGGGAAGTATACCCAGGACGTGTTTCACGGCCACGCCTGGACGTTAAACTCTCTCGGGGCACGTGCGGATTTCCGATCTAATCGAGGCATTCAGGGCAGCTGCAGAGGTTTATGTAGACGAATAGGTCCAAGCACAACAGCAGCTTCCCTTCGCATGGTCGAACAGTCTGAGATCGGTTTGACGTTCCAACTGGGAGCCGGCGGTAAACCGTCAAACTGGCTTTTTGGGGGGTTTCGGGTCTCGCGGTCTGGCCACGCGCGATGAGCCTAGACAAAACAACAACCACGCCGAGCCATGATGGCACAGGCATGCGTATCAAGGGCCTGCCGAGCCAGTAGCCCTAGGCATCACCAGAAAGCACACCAGAAATGAAAATCGCAACGGCCAAGCCGCCGCGGATCCGACTCCAGCCGCCCCGTCAGTGCGATCCCACAAACAAGACCGCACAGACCAAGACAAGAGAAGAATTTGCCCAGGCCGCAACCACGTGGGAGTGAGTGCCGAACCAGGTTGGCATAGGCATCACAAGAATGCACTGCACCGATCTAGAATCGCAAAGAGCCCCTCAACGTCGAACGTGACACTCCAAACGAGGCCCCGTGTGAGTACCGAGAACGCCGAGCCAGGATGGCCGAGGCATGAGCTATGTGAAATACCGAACCTGCAGGCGTGGGTATCGAGAAAACAGAGCACACGAAAAGCCGAGAACATTACAATGCAGAATACCGTCAAAGAACCTCACAGCCACCCAACGTCAAGCATGGCTCTCCAAACGAGGCCGAAAACAAGATCAAGAACACCGAGAATGCTGGGCCAGGATGGCAGAGGCATCAGGTATGAGAAATGCCGAGCCCAGTTGGCGCAGGCATAGAGAATTCAGAGCATAGAAGAGGGCCGAGAACATTACAGCAGATTAACAATAAAGAAGCCACACAGCCACACAAAGTCAAGTGCAGCACTCCAAACGAAGCGAAAAAACAGATCCAGACCTCCGAGACTGCCGAGCCAGGATGGCGGAGGCATCAGGTAAGAGAACTGCCGAGCCCAGACGGCGTGGGCATGAATAATACAAAGCACAAGAAAAGAAGCCGATATCATTTCAGAACGATATATCGCTGGTGATGCCTCACAGTTGCAACGTAACGTGCGGCTTCACAACATCAAGTATGGCTCCCCAAACGAAGCCAAAACAATATCAATAATACCGAGAATGCCGAGCCAGGACGGCCGAGGCACCACGTAAGCGAAATGCCGAGCCCAGGTGGCCTAGGCATGAGGAATACAGAGCACAAGGAAGAGGCCGAGAACATCGCTGACCACCGTAACGCTGAAGGTTCCTCTCAGTCACACAACGTCCAGTGCGGATCTCCAAACGAGGCCCAAAAAAGAAATCCTCAAAGGATACCGAGCCAGGATGGCAGAGGCATCAAGTACGAGGACCGCAGAGAAGACAACGAGAGGCAATCTAAACAAGGCCTGGAAGGTCAGACACTGAATGCCGAGCCATGATGGCAGAGGCATACGATATGGTGACATGCCGAGCCGCACGGGCGTAGGCATACCTATGTCACCCATCTATGGAAGACAAAAGAGATCGAGCCTGGAGAATATGGGCAAGTGGCAATCATGCGAAGAGCTTCACAGACCAGGATGGCGAGTCTGGCCGCCGATTCAAGCTCGCACTCTGCCGCAGACGACCGCGGATCAAGGTCAAACGCCTCCCCCGCGATCGGGCGAAACCATGACACCAACGATGGTGGCTTGAAGCGACAACGAGGTATGGCATGCTGAGCTACGTCCATCGCCCAGCCCCATTGTTTCCTCGCAAATCGCTGAACCACCGTCTGAAAGCCTCCCTCGTGGAACCTCCTCCTCCCAGCAGCAGCCGTGAATTCGCGTGCGCTGACAATTCCTCCCCCTCCCTCTCCCTTCTGCCCTTCAGTATAGCGAGCAAACGACCTTCCTACACATGTAGCTTTTCAACAGTGACCCTGTCCAACGTTTTCCCCTCACACGCTTATAGGACGATGCTCTGAACACGAATGCTGTACATCAAGCATCTATCTCTGTAGGGAATGCTCCT